GGCTAGGGAGAAATAGGGAGATGGTGGTTAAAGGGGACAAAATTAGAATTAAATAGGAGGAATAAACTCAAAGGTTCTATATATAGCTCTAACTATAGCACCAGAGGGTAAATATAGTTAATAATAATTTATTGTATACTTCAAGATAGCTAGAAGACAGGATTTTGAATGTTTCCAACATGAAGTAATGATAAATCTTGGAGGTGATAGATATGATAATTATTTTTATTTGATCACTACACAGGATATTAATGTATTAAAAATCACACTAGGGACCAGCAGTTGGTTTAATGGCTATGTCGCTTGACTCCCATGTAGTCGACCACAGTTCAAGTCCTGGACCCACTGGCTTAAACTCACGCTGGGTGCATGTGTGTGTGTGCCCAAGATCCCAAAAGGATAATGGAGGAGAAGGGATTGTGGCATGACCATCCCTCCTAGGGAGTGATTTCTCATTTTCTGTGTCTCTTTGTATTTCTGGTGAGCACACACGCCCCCCCCCCAAAAAAAAACCTCTCTCCCCACAAAAAATTGCACTATACTTTATAAATATATATATAAATATATATTTATATAATATATATAGATAACAAAAAATTTAAATGAATAATGAAGACATAGTCTCCATCTCATGTGCAATTTATTTTACCTTTCTCCATGAATCATGCTTTTTAAATTGTGTTTAAAAAGTGCATATTTGCCTAATCCTAATTCATGCATTTTTTCTCCTACAAATATTCTAGATAATTTAACTTTACATCTTGAATTTAGCTTTATGATACACTTTGAAGTTATGTTTTGTAGAAGTTGTGAGGTGTAGGTAGAGCTTCATTTTGATTTTTTTGTTGTTGTTATCTAATTTTTCTAGAATTTGTTTAAAAGACCTTTGATACATTTTAATATGATCTAATCTTTTGGCTATTTTATGTAAGTATATTGGTGTACTTACATCTTTATTATTCTAAAAAATTTTGTAATTTGTATGTGTGTGTGTGTGTGTGTGTGTATTTTTTTTCAATTGCCAAAGGGTGCATGCATTTGTTAAGCAAAGTGAGACAGAGTGAAAGAGATCATCAGTCAATGAGGAATAGTCACACAACAATTCTTTCTCTCCATTTCTCCATCCTGTAAAGATTTTGAAATGAAGGTACATGCACCTGCTATAGTCAGGATTCAAATCATGGTTGTCCCTGTAGGATCCAGTTCCTTATGCAGCATTATAGGGCTGGCCCAAGAAAATAGTTCTTAATTATGTTTCCTCTCCATCAATTTTGTCATCTTTCTTATTCCTTTACCCTAACACTCCTTAAAAATTAGTGTCTCAGGGCCAGCAAGTGGTGCAGTGGTTAAGGGTGCTGGACTCCCACATGGCTGACCATGGTTTGAGTCCCAAACCTGGTAGCATGCTTTCTTACTTTCCTTCTCTCTTTTTCTCTCTCTCTCTCTCTCTCTTTCTCCCCCTCTTTGGTCAAATTAAAATTAATTAATTCATTCATTCATTCCAAAATAGTTCTTCAAAAGAAAAATGAGTGTCTCATCCATTGTCTCACTTTTCTTATCTCACATTAATTAGGTTTACTGAATCATCATCTACTGAAGTGTTTTGCCTATGAACAGACTGTGAGTTTATGGTATAGTACAAAGGATCACACAGCCTGCACAGCTGTTTCCACTGCTCAAATCTATCACAACTATCTTTATGGAACATCTTGTTCACCTATTTGTCTATTATAAAATACTCTATGTGCTTAGAAATTATTTTCTGTGTTTGAGAGCAAATATTTGACTTTATCAGTTAGAATAGGTTTGAGTTAATGAAAACCTTTTATAATTTATCTTCCTAGAAAAGTCACTGTCAAGCTCAGACAAATTCTGAGGTTCTGATCTTACATTTCTTTAGTCAAAACTGCTGACTGCTTACAGAATTTCCTTTCATACTCTCAGGCAGATCATTCTCCAAATTATGATTGCCTAACAAATTGGAACTAAATTAGGTTAAGAAATAAAAAAAAAAGTCTCCTATTTTGTTTTATTATCCTTTATTACTAGATGTCTTTTGAATAATATCTTACTTCTAAAATATAAATCTGAGCAGAAACATTTTCAGATCCCATCATTACCCCACGAAGGGATACTTTTAGCTCAAAGTTCTCAGTTGATATTCACATTTCGATGACATACACACACACACACACACACACACATATATATAACTTTGTTTACAAATAGGATTTTTCTGCACATAATGTATTGAAATCTGATTTTTTTAATGTAAAAATGTGAATGTTTTCCATATTCTTAAGTAGAGTTCTTGGACACCATTTCCCTGAAGGTCCAATATAAGACTCTTATGATTTTCTAAAATCAATTTAAGAAAGTAAGCCCTAGTAGAGAGACATTTAAACTGTTCCTATTTTTTTACATGCACAGTAATTTTACCATAGAAATTCTAATGTACACATGTAATCATTTTCTTACCTTAAATTCTTAGAGATAGAAAACCTCTCTCAGGTTTTGTACATTTTAAAGTTTCTAAAACATAGACAATAGGTAAATACATTACAGCCTACGCCAATTTTTGAGGAACGCAAGCATGGAGAGATGACCAAGTGTCATGATCATTTTTTAACCTAAACAGTGTAATAGGACCTGAGAATAATGACATCACATCCAAGAAGGAAGATATTATCTAAGAAAGGACATAACCATGTATCACAGGCAAATTTTACATAACCATTCCTTACATAAACTGCATCTGATATCTATAAAATATTTTAATTGATTCAAAATTACAGTCAAATTAGCTAATAAGTAGTAAGATTCTGCTCCTTAAAGGATAATAATCTATCCAATAATAATAAGCCCATTAACTGTTGCATCCAAGAAGAAACTAAGAGTTTTAATTCAACCATCTTGTTTTACTAATCGTGAAACTGAGACACAGAAAGATGAACCAGCTATGAGAGAGAAAAGGGTGCTCAGTCTCTCGTTTTAGTGTCTCTCATTTTCACTGTTCTTTCCAAACATCAGAATTCTCACATCTGAATTCATGAAAGGATAGAAATCATAGCTTTCAATCTGAGCCCTCTTTCCTGTATGATTAACTATACTACTTCTTACTCAGATTTTTGTATCTTCTCTCTCTCTCTCTCTCTCTCTCACACACACACACACACACACACACACACACACATACCGAAACACACACATGCTGCATCATTCATATTGGTCTACCTATTTTGTGTGTACAAATTACTAGGCCATTCATAGCCAGATGACTCTAGTACAGGCATTGTGCCCCATCCATCACAAGATTAGCTCACATCTGAATTCATGAAAGGATAGAAATCATAGCTTTCAATCTGAGCCCTCTTTCCTGTATGATTAACTATACTACTTCTTACTCAGATTTTTGTATCTTCTCTCTCTCTCTCTCTCTCTCTCTCACACACACACACACACACACACACACACACACATACCGAAACACACACATGCTGCATCATTCATATTGGTCTACCTATTTTGTGTGTACAAATTACTAGGCCATTCATAGCCAGATGACTCTAGTACAGGCATTGTGCCCCATCCATCACAAGATTAGTGTTGTTTTGCACAAATACAAATCAAATAATGGATGAATTATGAAATCTGATTTGGTAAAGTATACAGTTTGTAAATAAAACTGATATGTGGCCTGTGATCAGTGATCAAAATGTTGAAACATCACAAGTAATGTTATTATGCTCTCAGAATCTGTTTTTCTCCCTCTAAGACCTGAATATGCTTATCCTCCACTGCCTTTGCAATTAAGGGCCTTTTAAGACTTCTGTGGGAGTGTGGGTTTCAACCACAGAAAGCAATGGGTAGGAATAGTCACATTAGGAAAAATAATCTCTTTAAAGAAGAGATTATTTGTGGAAGGTCAGGAAGGAAAAGCCATTGGTTTTATTCCAAACCTCATCTACTCTCTTATCCAGAGCAACTTTACATCTGCTAGATCCCAGCCCCTTCATAGCTCTAGGGTTAATTTAGAACTAAACAGATTTCTTACTTCCCTTCGTAGTAAAGGGAAGACACTAACTCCTAGGTGCACTAAAATTTGAACTTGAAAAAATTTGTTCTAACTCTCTTTGTCATCCAAGTAATTCAGATTAAGCTATATCACAACGCCCACACTTCCTGAATGTGGTAGTATCTCCCTTCACTCATGGCTATGGTTTAAATGTGACCCCCAAAGCTCTTGGCAGAAAACTTTGCTTTCTGCCTTCATGAATGTATTAATGTCACTATCATGGAAGTTTGTTACCGAGGGAGTGGCTTTGGCATAAAGGCGCTCTCTCCACCAATTTTGCTCCCATGTACTCACCATGTGACGCCTTCGCCAGGGGCCCTTGCCAGATGCTGCTGCCATGCTGTTAGACTTCATTGCTTCCTGACCCATGAACCCAAATAAACTTCTTTAATTCATAAGGTACTCCCTCTGTGGTCTTCTTTTATAGCAATATAAAAAGGACTAAGACATCTATGAAGATGAACCCATAAACTACAGAACTTAAAGTTTGTCTAGGGAAAACTGGTGACATGAGTAGGTTATCTCTTAATACACTAAGCTTAGAGATGCACAGTTTAGACTACATGTCTTCCTTCTTGGAGGTTAAAAAAAAAAAAAAGAATGACAATAAATTTTAGAATCAAAGAACATTTTGAGGGGCTTGCAGGTGTCATGGTGGTTAAGTTACTGGACTCACACACGGCACACTGTGGTTCAAGTCCTGAATCCACGCTTTGCTTTCTCACTCTCCCTTTCTCTCTCTCTCAGTCTTTATCTGGTCAAATTAAAAAATAAATAATAATAACAAATAAAATTAAATTAATAAAGAATTATTAAAAAGAAAAAAGGTTTTAAAAAGCCCCAAAGAATGAGAAAGCATGGCAATCTCCATGTTATGGGTGATCTGTTCTTTCTCTTTATAGGTCATCCCAGAGAAAGCCATATGATGGAGTCCATGGAACCATTAAATCAAACTCATGTGTCAGAATTTATTCTGCTGGGACTTACCAACTCCAAGAATATAGAGTTTCTCCTCTTTGCACTCTTCTCAACTATCTATGTGGTCACAGTTTTGGGTAACCTTCTCATTGTTGTCACAGTATTTAATACCCCAAGCCTGAACACCCCCATGTATTTTCTCCTTGGGAATCTCTCTTTTGTGGATATGACCCTTGCTTCCTTTGCCACCCCTAAAATGATTGTGAACTTGGTACAGAAGCATAAGACCATTTCGTTTCCTGGGTGCTTCACTCAGATCTTTCTTCTTCACTTACTTGGTGGGGTAGAGATGGTACTATTGGTCTCCATGGCCTATGACAGATATGTGGCCATTTGTAAGCCCTTACACTACATGACTATCATGAACAAGAAGGTGTGTGTTTTCCTCGTAATGATCTCGTGGTTCTTAGGTCTCCTTCACTCAGGCCTTCAGATACCCTTTGTTGTAAACTTACCTTTTTGTGGTCCTAATGTGGTAGACAGCATTTTTTGTGACCTTCCTCTGGTCACTAAGCTTGCCTGCATAGATACATATATTGTACAGATAGTCATTGTTGCCAACAGTGGCATGATATCCCTGAGCTGCTTCACAATTTTGCTTATCTCTTATAGTCTGATCTTTATTACAGTTAAGAAACACTCTTCTACTGGGCAGTCTAAAGCCCGATCCACTTTGACGGCTCACATTACAGTGGTTATTCTCTTTTTTGGGCCCTGCATCTTCATCTATATATGGCCCTTTAGTAACCACTCTGTGGATAAGTTCCTTGCTGTATTTTACACCATCATCACCCCTATCTTGAATCCAATTATCTACACTCTGAGAAACAAAGAAATGAAGACGGCTATGAGGAAGCTATGGAGAGTTTTTGTAAATTCTAGAGTGGATACTTAGGTTGTTGAGGATTCTTTTAAAAATAGATTAATAGGATCCACATAGAGGAATGCAAGTTAAACACAACAGGAATACAGAAATGGGATATACAAGAGTATTTTCAGTGCATTAACAATAAAAAAGATAAATAATAATAAAATAAAATTTTTAAATAAATTAAGATAAATTATATTGATTTTGAAAATAATGTCAACTAAGTTATAAAAACTTCAAAAACTTGCTTGTCCTCCAGAGAAGTTTGGTAAATACATTTTTTAACAGGATATTAAAATGGTATTGGACAAAGGGGAAATAGAGTAATTCCTCAGAATTTCTATGATATTTTAATGTAAAAAATGGAAATTTTGGCACTTTCTATGAGCCCAAAACTGATTCTTTATCTTCTCAACAATATTAATGTCTGATTCAGTACTCACATGTGGCAGCTCTGAATACCGTAACTACCGGTACTATCAAAGTACACTGATTTTTCTTGTCTCAAAAATGAGAGCATATGTAGATATTTTTAAGGTTGTTCATAGTATGAAAACTTACTTCCATCTTGCTTCCCCCACATATTTCAAGTTCAGAGAATTTGCAGCTGACTTCAAAAATAAGGCTACACATTCCACAAAGACCAACTCTGGATCCTGGATTCAAGATCTCTCTGTGTGTCCATAAGCTCAGATAGCATAGAGAGCTAGTCCCTTCCTCTCTCCCAGAGCTACTGTGTCTCCTTACATACCCATTTTCCTGTTCCTGTCTCCCTGGCTAGATCAAAAGCACCTATACCTTGCATACCATTACCAATTGGGCTGCAAGAACATCTGTTCTTTTGTCACCATTGCTATTACTTCCCTAGACCACAGATCTGTAGGATCTCCACACATGACCAAATTTCTGGCATCACTCTATAGTTTCCCCAAGGACATGACTCATCAGGCACTCAGATCATCACTACACTACCATTAACAGTCCCTCAAGTCAAACCCACTACCATGAGGGATTCCCTCAACCCCTACATCTGAGTTGGGAGAAATTTATTGAGAGGATTATAGAAACCACCACCATGAAAGATCCCAACAATCTTCATCATCACTGAAGAAATTCACACTGGTGGCCTTTGAGGGTCCTTGCAATCCCTATATAAATCTCAGTTAATAACATTTCAGAGAGACTGCATTGCCTTGCCTTCAGGAGAGTCAGAGTAGCTGCAAAACAACCAGCCAGCATCCTTCACTCTCACAGGGGGGAAGGTCTTTGTTGATGGAAACCAACCTATAAATCTGGAAGAGGTAACTGCTCCAACATATGTGCAAAAAATCTATGTGAAACAAGAAACCTGATATATTAAGGAAATATGTTACCACAGAAAGAGCCTAATTTCAAAGTAGCTGACCCAAAGAAATGGAGAAGTGCATCTTTCTGGCAAAGAATTTACAATAATTGTTTTAAGTAAGCTCAGTAAACTTTAAGAACATGTAGAGAAACATGAAACAACAAAACAAAATGAGAAATTTAACAAAGAAGCTGAAATTATAGAAAAGACACAGAAATGTCTTAAGTAGTAATGATATTTTTAAAAAGTTAATTATTCCACCCAGGAGAGGCAAGGGGCAGGCCTTCAGAAGCAGACACCTTGATGGCTCCTGAGAACTAGTGATTTCAGAGAAAAAAGAGGAATAAAGATTTTGTACTGATAATTCAGCCTCCAGCCCACAAACACAAGTGGTAGAAAGAAAGAAAAAAGAAAGAAAGAAAGAAAGAAAGAAAGAAAGAAAGAAAGAAAGAAAGAAAGAAAGAAAGAAAGAAAGAAAGAAAGAGAAAGAAAGAAAGAAAGAAAGGGAGGAAAAGAAAAGAAACACACCATCCATCAGATGACTACAAAGCACCACAGGGCCACAAGAAATAAGGGAAAGCAAGAAAATACCTCTCCTCCAAGGGAAAAGGATAACTTTTCTTCATCCACAGACAGTTCAATGGAAATCATGGAAATGTCTGATAAAGAATTTAGAATATTCATAATGGCGAAGCTAATAGAAATGGAAGATAAGAGAGACAGTGAACTGCAAAAGAGGGAGGAGAAAGGAGCTGATGAGTTCAAGGAGGTGAGGAAATTTTTGTAAGAGCTAAAGGAAGAATTATACACTTTGAAAAAGAATCAAATGGACCTGTATTATAGCAATGAAGGCTATAATACAGGAAGTCAAAATCTCCCTTGAAAGTATTAAAAGCAGACTAGGTCATACAGAAAATAGAATCTCAGACACAGAAGAGAAAGTTGCTGGCCTGGAAAAATGCACCACAAAGACTGAGAAAATGCCCCTCCAAAATTGAGAATAATATATGAGAAATACTAGATACCATCAAACATCCAAACATCTGGGTAACTGGTATCCCAAAAGGTGAAGAGACTCAGAAGGGCATTGATAATCTACTCCATGAAATCCTGCAAGAAAACTTTCCAAACCTAGAGAGGCACCCAAAGATCCAGTCACAAGAAATACAAAGGACCCCCAAATAGAACCAACTTAAGAAAATCTTCTCCAAGACACATTATAACCAGATTGATCAAAACCACAAAGACAAGATACTAAGATTGGCAAGAGAAAAATGGTAAGTTACCTACAAAGTATATCTCATCAGGCTAACAGCAGACCTCTCATTGGAAACAATGTGAGCAAGGAAAGAATGAAAAAATATATTCAAAGTTGTTAAGGGAAAAGCAATTTCAAACAAGAATACTTTACCATCAAGCTAACAGCAGATCTCTCATTGGAAACAATGTGAGCGAGGAAAGAATGGGAAAATATATTGAAAGTGTTAAGGGAAAAGCAATTTCAGCCAAGAATACTATACCCAGCAAGATTATCCTTTATGTGGGAAGAAAAGACAAGAATATTCTCAGATAAAGAAAACCTGAAAGAATTTACCAGCACCAGACCAGATCTCCAAGACGTTCTCAAGGAAGTGCTATATCAGGAAAATTAAATTCAGACATACAGAAATAAGAATTCAAAAACTAAGAAAATGATCAACTTAATCGTAACGACAAGTCTGGAGTTGAATATTATATCCCAGAATTCAATCAGAAAGATCGAACCACAACAGAAGATAGATTATGTACATGAGATTGAACTGGTAAAATAGCATTTTATGACTTTTGACTAAAATATTGCCGGTTTAAAGATTTTGTCCTGTCTTGAGCTGTCAATAGGTTCATATACCTACTATTTGTACAGAATCCTAACCCATTCCCTGGCTTTAAGATTTTTTGTTTTGTTTTGTTTAGGATATCCCAGAATTTAAGTGGTAAGATCAAACCACAACAGAAGATAGATTAAGTACATGAGACTGAACTGGTGAAATAGCATTTTATGACTTTTGAGTAAAACATTGCCGATTTTCTTCTAGGCTTTGTTTTGTGGTTTGAAGGATTTTTGTCCAGTCTTGAGTGGCCAGTCGGTTCGTGTACGTACTATTTGAACAGAATCCTAACCTGTTTCCTGGCTTTAAGTTCTAAGCAAAATTCTTTAGCATTTCTTTGATTTATTAAACTTAACACTGCTTTTCTTGAAATTATTAGCTAAACTTGCTATTGAAAGTAGTTAGATTACTTAAGAAATTGTGTGATCAATACAATGGGGGGAAAGGAATGGAAGACTATCCTGACCTGGGGGACAGGTTTCCTGAGGGAAGGAGTGAGAGATGGGACGAACGACACAGTGTTACAACACGGAGACAACACAGTGTTACAACTCTTCAGGGTCATTCCTTTATTGTGGGCAGCAGTGTTCAATAGGTGTGGTGTTCAGTCTCCCACAGAAAACAACTATAGACACCAGAGATAGTTTGAGAAGAGGGTGGGAAAGGGCAGAGGGTCAGAAATAGGGGTAAAAAAATATATGTATGTATGTGTGTATATATATATATATATATATATATATATATGTGTGTGTGTATGTGTGTGTGTATATATGTATGTGTATATATGTGTGTGTATATGTATGTGTGTATATATATATATATAAAACTAGAAATGGAAAATTATTGACAATAACATGCATGATTAAGCCACTAAGCAGTATATTCTGGATAGGAAGTCACATATTGTATGCTGTGACAATGCTTAGGGAATTAATGTAAATTAATTAATTAAAGAAAATGTTTCAGGTAAAAAAGTTAATTATGCCTTCAAAAACATAAAATGTAAGAAAGAAGTGGGATTTTTTATGCAATCAAAATTAAACATTTATTTGCTTTAAAAATCTTATTTTTATGGGACCAGCAGTTAGAGTAATGACTATGTCACTGAACTCCCATGTAGTTGACCGCAGTTCAAGTCCCAGACCCGGTGGCTTAAACTCACACCAAGTGTATGTGCGAACGTGCCCAAGATCCCAAGAGGAGAATGGAGGTGAAGGGATTGCGGTGTGGCCATCCCCCCTAGGGGAGTGATTTCTCACTTTCTGTCTCTCTGTCTGTCTCTGTCTTTCTGGCAATCACACGCGCCCTATATAGCAAAAACCTCTCCAAATAAATAAAGAAGGAATAGGGGGAAAGTAGCCCAATAAAATAAGGCCATATGCCATATGTGAACCATATGTTAGCCCATCACTAACATTCTCAATAGTGACAAGTTGAAAGCTTTTTCTCTAAGATTGAGAATAAAACAAGGATGCCCATTCTAGCAACTTCTATTCAACATAGTACTAGAATTCCTAGGTAGAAGAGTAGGAGAAGAGAAAGGAATAAAATATACCCAAATTAGAAATAAAGAAGCAAACTTGTTTCTCTTTGCAGAATACATGATCTTATGTATATTAAAAACTCTAAAGACTCCAGTAGAAAACTGGAGAATAAACAAATTGAATAAAGTTGCAAGATATAAAATTAATAGCATTTCTGTACTCTAACAGTCATCTATCTGAAAAAGGTTTTTTGGTTTTTTTTTTTAATATTATTATACTTACAAAAATTGAAATGTTTTCCAGCCATGGTGGCATAAGCAGCAGTGGTGC